TATTTCATAGCTAATCCTGCCTATTTTATATCCCATGGAGTGACATGGATGAAAAAGCAAAAAGATTTGAGGTCTTTCTGTATTTTGGTAATAATCTGCTCCTCTTTATTTTTACTCCAGTTTTGATTTTCTGTTTCCCTCTGCTTGGTTTTCCTTTTTTAATGGTAGTAGATTTTTGTCTGTTTGTTTTTGTTATTGTTTGTTATTTCCCAAAAGGTAAGAAAAAGAAAACAATCATTGGTGTGACAGTCACCTTGGAGACAACTGAGGCTTTAGACCTCGCCTCTCATTTCCCTGGTCCCACTGGAAAGGGAGACATCGGCTTTGTCACTCATTACGATATATGTGAGGGGTGGGCTTGTTGAGGCTTTGCTGAGTCCAGTAAGACAGTCTTCACCTGGGTCAGAGTATCAGAAGACAAGTGGTTATGTCTGGCTCTGACTAGAAATGTAGTGCAAGCGACAAGAAACCTTCCAAACTGTTATTCCATTCTTTCAAGAGTTAATCCAGCTGCGCAGGAGTTCCAGGCACCACTCACAAGCTGTTCTCTTGAAGTCACGCTAAGGAGAAGGGATGAATGGTTAGCCCATTCACGAAACTACCCAGAATCCCTTCCTCCAAGCTCACTCACAGTGAGCCTACCGTGTACCGCTGCAGCCTACCAGTTTCCTGGGTATAACCCGGCAAAGCGCAATGTTGCCTTTTTTCCCCTCTACTTTCTTCCTTTAGATAGTGGCCGAAGTCTTGGCACACTTTCCAGGCACTCTGGGTCTTCTCTCTCAATTTCTCCAAAGCTACCCAACATCCCCTCTTCTACCTGTCATGTGACTGCCTAAAAATCACATGCCTTCCTCTCATCCTGGTCTTTCTCCCAGCAGCCACCACGGTGGCTAATTGAAATGTAATAGAATTGTCCTTTCTAGTCCATTTTAAAGTTATTCTGTTAACTGAACTAAGAACTCAAAAGAGGGAACTTCAGATTTCACAGGAGGATTTGTAAACTGAACGTGTAGAGACCTTCTCTGCCCATAGAGGACCATGTGCTCCCACCAACACCCCACTGAAATTAATCTTCAGCGAATGACTCTTCTGTTACTATGTGTAATCACTATGTACAGCTACTCAATGCAGTTAATAACGTAAGAATTACAGAGTGTTTATGCTGTGCATCCTATGGTTTATGAATAAAAGTAACTTTATTCAAAAAGAAGTTTATGTAAACTATAAGAGACCCAAAAAACTCCACCAGGGAACTCCTGCAGCTGATAAATACCTTCAGCAAAGTGGCAGGATAGAAGATCAACTCAAGAAAATCAGTAGCCCTACTATATACGATGATAAAAGGGCTGAGAAAGAAATCAGAGAAACATCACCCTTTACAATTGCCACAAACAACATAAAATACCTTGGGGTAACGCTAACCAAACAAGTGAAAGACCTGTATCACAAGAACTTTGAGTCGTTAAAGAAAGAAATTAAAGAAGACACCAGGTCTTGGATAGATAGGATCAACATAGTAAAAATGGCAATCTTACCAAAAGCAATATACAGATTTAACACAATCCCCACTAAAATACCAGCACAATTCTTCACAGACCTTGAAAGAACAATAATGAACTTTGCATGGAAAAACAAAAGACCCAGGATAGACAAAACAACCTTATTCAACAAAGCAACATCTGGAGGCATCACCATCCCTGACTTCAAGCTCTATTACAGAGCTGTAATCCTGAAAACAGTTTGTTATTGGCACAAAAATAGACAGGTAGACCAATGGAATTGAATTGAACACCCTGATATTAACCCATACATCTATGAACATTTGATTTTCAACAAAGAAGCTAAAAATATACAATGGAAATAAAAGCATCTTCAACAAATGGTGCTGGCATGTAGAAGAATGCGGATAGATCCATGTCTGTCACCATGCACAAAGCTTAAGTCCAAATGGATCAAAGACCTCAACATAAATCCAGCCACACTGAACCTGTTAGAAAAGAAAGTGGGAGGCACCCTTGAATGAATTGGTACAGGAGACAGCCTCCTGAACATAACACCAGTAGCACAGACAGTGAGATCAACAATTAATAAATGGGACCTCCTGAAACTGAGAAACTTTTGTAAGGCAAAGGACACAGTCAGCAAGACAAAAATGCAGCCCACAGAATGGGAAAAGGTATTCACTAACTCCACATATGACAGAGGGCTGATCTCCAAAATTTACAAAGAACTCAAGAAGCAAAACACCAAAGGATCAAATCAAAAAGTGGGGTACAGAACTAAATAGAGAATTCTTAATAGAGGAGACTAAAATGGCTGAGAGACACTTGAGAAAGTGCTCAACATCCCTAGCCATCAGGGAAATGCAAATCAAAACAGCTCTGAGATACCATCTTACTCCTGTAAGAATGGCTAAAATCAAAAACACCAACGACAGTTTATGCTGGAGAGGATGTGGAGAAAGGGGAACACTCCTACACTGCTGGTGGGAGAGCCTACTTATACAGCCACTTTGGAAATCAGTATGGAGATTCCTCAGGAAAATGGGAATCAGTTTACCACAAGACCCAGCAATTCTACTCTTAGGCATATATCCAAAAGATGCCCATTCACACAACAAGGATGTCTGTTCCACTATGTTCATAGCAGCATTATGTGTAATAGTCAGAACCTGGAAGAAACCTAGATGCCCCTCAAATGAAGAGTGGATAGAGAAAATGTGGTACATTTACACAATGGAGTACTATTCAGTAGAAAAATACAATGGAATCTTGAAATTTGCAGGCAAATGGATGGCACTAGAAGAAACCATCCTGAGTGAGGTAACCCAGTCACAAAAAGACAAACATGGTATGTACTCACTCATTTATGGATTTTAGACATGAATCAGGGGAGTGCCAACATACAATCCCACTGCCAGAGAGTCTGGGAAACAGAACCTTCGTCCAGCGACTGATGAAAACAGAGGCAGACACCCACAGACAAACACTGAACTGAATTCCTGAAATCCAGGGTCAGAAAGAGAACTGATGGGCAAAGGAGTTAAGAGTGGGCTGATTTAACCCACAGAAACAATTGACCTGAACAAGGGGGAGCTCTTGGACTCCAGATTAATGACTGTGTAGAAAGCATGGAACTGACCCAGACCCCCTGAATGTGGGTGTCAGTGAGGAGGCCTAGGTAATCTATGGGGCCTTGGGTAGTATTTATCCCTGGCCCACAAATAGAGTTTCAGTGCCCATGCCACAATATGGGAGGCTCTCTCAGCCAGGACTCTTGGGGAAGATCCACCATGGAGGGTGTCACCCTCCTTGTTGATCGAAGTGGAGATTGGGTGGGGGACTGGGGAACCTGGTGGGGAGGGCGGGGGAGGAGGGAAGGGAGAGGGAGCTGGGATTGACATGTGAAGCAAGATTGTTTCTAACCTAAATAAAATAATAATTTAAAAAAAAGAAAGAAAAAAAGTAGAATTTGGCATGACTTTATCAACTATTAATACAATTATTACATTCAACCCATAAATTAAAACCCATATGTGGCCTACTATTTGTAGATTATTGATTTCAAAGGCAAAGAATACAGAACTGCACCCAGAACTCATCCTCTAGGAAACAGGCCATCATCAAAAGAGATAATACTTTTTTTTTTGCTGTCTTTTCCATTTGAAACTGTGATAAAAATAAATAAGTAAAAACCTTCTGACAATAATCTCTCTTAAGAGCCACTCTCCACACAACAAGTGACTATTACACCACTGGATTGATAAGAGTAAGCTGAATTAATAAGAATGTGTATTTTTATAATCACGTTGGTCATCATAACCCTACACCTCACACAGCTCAGTCTCTTCTATGTCTTTATTTCTTGGCGTATATCTATTGAGTGCGACTTAACATGACTTGCTCTCTGAGGAGTGCTGGGATTCAACAGTGGCGCCCTTAATGTTCTTCTAGAAGGCCAATACAAGGAATTACATGCATCTACATGCACACACGTATGTATTAGAGCATCATTATCGTGTAGAACACACAGTAAACTTCTGGAAGATAATGGAGCTCGGGTGAAGCTAGTAATAAGTCACAGAGCACTTTCCATGCAGTGATGAGGGAGGGTTTCCCTGAGGATGATCCAGGAGCAGACGCTTGAGAGCAAGCTAGCCACTAGCATGCTTAGGAAGAGCCTCCCATTTAGAGGTGACAGTACAAATGCACACTCAGCCAATAAGAAGCCACTGTGTGGAGTGGGTGTGGCATCTGGAGCTGCAGCTAGTTTTTGTGCAGCTGAGACTCCAGATACAGCTGGGACAATATGCCATCGCCGGTGGTACAAAAATGCTGTTATTCTTACCCCCCACCAAAATGCCAGAAAAATGGATGGTGACAGTAAAGAGGGACTTCCTCAAAAAAGTGAGGGCTAACTTTTCATCAAATCATAGACAAAAGTGTAAACTCAGGGCTCTCAAACACAATTACTCTACTTACTTCCAACAAGCCTGAGACAGCTGATCACTCTCATGTCATCTTAGGATTTCCAAATAAAGATGAATTTAAGCCAGGCAGTGGTGGCACGCTTTTAATTCTAGCACTCGGGAGACAGAGGCAGGCAGACCTCAGTGAGTTCAAGACCAGCCTGGTCTACAAGAGCGAGTTCCAGGACAGCCCCAAAGCCACAGAGAAACCCTGTCTCAAAAAAAAAAAAAAAGATGAATATGTTTGTGTAAATTTTTAAAGGTTTTGTTAAAACATTTATTGTTTAATGCACGTTGTTTAATATGCATGTGTCTGTATGAACCACTGTTCCAAAGTGGAGGTCAGATGACAATCTGTGGGAGCCCATTCTCTCCTTTTAGTTGCGGATCCCAAGAATAAAAGCAAGGTCCTCCCACTTGGTGGCAGGTACTTTACCCGCTGAGCCTGTTCTCTGACCCTGTGTCTAAAATTTTTTAACTATATGAGAAAGAGAATACAAATAGTATTTATAGTACCCAGAGACTAGGAAAATAGACACAAAGAAATTTTACTGATATCTTACTTAGACCAGTGTATAAGAAGATAAAACATCCAAGTAAAAATTAAATGACACAGAGGAAAAGAAAAATAACAAATGGGTAGCTTCGGGGAGCTTGAGGTCCAGACCAAAGTCCAAAACCCCTTTCTCCTACTTCACTATTATGTGCGACATCAACTCTGAGAAGTAGCAAGAGGCAACTGGAGGAGACCTCTGAAACGGGAAAGGAATTGAAGCTTCTTGGATGCTGGGACAGATGAGGAGCACAGCTGACAGATGTCTGCCATATCTCCAAAGCAGCATTTCCCAACCAGTTAGGACAAGAGAAGGAATCCCATGACAGGTTACACCCGGAGTCTAAGTCCTCTTTGATGCAAGGCCTGGGGGTAGAAATCATAGACTATAGATATTTATATATGTATACACACATATACATATGTATATGTATTTATATATTTAGAGAGAGAGAGAGTATACATACACTTCTAGAACTTTTAAATTTTCCTCAGTGTGTAACTGAGACAACCATGGGCAGCACATGTGCTCTGTCTTGACGTGTGATGCCATCCGCCGCGTCCACGGTGTACTAAGAGGCCTCTCGCAGACGGCACGACCGTATTCTTGGGCTTTCGGCCTTCAGGACTATGTGCTGAGCAAACTTCTGTCCTTTATAAATTACTTTTGTTTCAGCTGTCCTTGCTATATCAGCAGAAGATGGAGTAAGACAATAAGGACAGCAAACATTTTTTTCAGCTCTGGGTGTAGTTGAATCGGCATCAATATATTGATGGTATTTGACAGGGTTTATATGACTCTTATGCTGGGGGACAAGTAACTTTCTCCAAAAACGAAAAGGGAGGGGAAGACCTAAATTTCAACAAGCACAAGTGGAGACCTAGTCGGGGGTATCTTATATATGTCCCTCAGTCCTTCCCCTAGGTTAGTTTTCTCCCACCGTACACACCACACAACCAACACTGTAAACACTGGCAGGGTGATGTGCAGTCATACAGAGACGTAACCATAGGAGCGATATCGAAGGATATGCAGTGCTTGGGAACATTTCACTATAAAATCATATGTATATACAATACTAATTTGGTTTTAAATTACAACACATGCACAGAATAGGAAATCTATACATCAGAATGTTAAAAAAAATGGCTATTGTCCCTATCTGATCATGGATTTTCTGTTTGATTATCTGAATTTTCTAATTTGTTAAAAGGTAAAATTCTGAAAATCAACTTTTCAAGTTCCTGAGTGTCCTAACAATAAAGGAAAGCATTTTTTATCATCACAATTGCACCACCACCACTAGAAGGTTGAAGCTGACCTGGGCTCAGAACAACACAGCCACTCTGGATAAACAGCCCCTGAAGAGAAGGGGCAGATGGCATCGTAAGTGAGTAGCTATCTGAATCCTGGACTGCAGACCGCAAGGAACAACAGATTGCATCTGCTGAGCTCTGCTCTCCTGCAAGGTGAGGGAAGCCAAAGCCCCCCAGGGTGCTGGGAGGTCAGTAGGTTCATCCCAGCAAGGCAGAGCAGGTTCTGCAGTGGGCACACCCGGAGCAGAGGAGACTGGTGGGGTCCCAGGGCCATTCTTCCACGGACCCTCCAAGGTTCAGTCTTCAAATGAAAAGATTCCACTAACCATTCCCTGTTGTTTCCCCTCCGCCAGAAACCCATCGGTCCTGGAGATGGGTGGTCTTTCTCCTGCTACAGTCTGTTTTAGTGAGGATTGCACAGTAGGAGAAGCCCCACTGTGTAGGAGGAAAACAGAACTCCGACATTAGCCATGTGACTTATCTAGAGGCACATACAGATGATGTAATAAAAGAGCAGTTTACCGCACCGCTAACCACACCCACTTTAGGCATGACTAAAGACGTATATATCACGGACATAGGTGGTGAACTACGTCACTAGCCAGGCCCACTTTTGGGCATGGCTAGGGGCATTACAGAGGAAGGAATAAAAGACTGAACAACAGGGATTGGGGGGGTTGGGGAAAGGGCATGGGAGGAGGGGAGGGAAAGGGAGAGGGACCTGGAACTGACTTGTGGAGCAACCTTGTTTCTTATCTAAATTTAAACTGGAAAATAAAAAAAAAAGACTGAACAACGGAAGTCTCGCTCTCTTTTTCCGGCTTTCTGGCTTCCAGTTCGGCGGCAGAAAACTACTCGGCTCCTCTGGGTTACTTGTTTGTCTCTTGTGAGTAATTTCTACAATAAATACTTATTTTTACTTTCAGTAAGTATGCCGTTTATCGTTACAGCATCACCACTGGCCTCTTCCAGGCATAGAATATTGGCAAATTGTGAAGTCAGGAAAGAAAGAAGCCCTTTTTCTTTTCTGTTTTAGCCAACAAGCAGATTCTGAAGAAAAGTAAAGCACATGAAATGCTTCCTTGTATGTGATACAGATGATTTCATGGCTGTAGAATGTTGAAGTGTATCATTGATTTACTCAACATTATCATGCCTGGAGACTCTCATTAAATGGAACTTATTCAGACCATAATTATCGCATGGATAATTTTATTTTTGAGTGTTTTTCTTTTTCCAAAATTTAAATACAGATGAATGGATTTTAAGAAATTTGGAACCTAGGCCCTCATTTCACACTGCTTTGGGAAAAGCTCCTAAGGAAATAAAGCCCAACAAAGCCCAGCTATTAGAAGCTGGAAGTGACAAAATAAGAGGCCAGACCTCTTCTGGTCATCCCCTGAGCCCTCAATACAGGTGTAGCTGGAGCTATCCCCCATCCCTGGGGCACCCCAGCACTCAGAGGTCACCCTAGCAGAGGGCCCATTGAGGTGGGGGTGACTCTGGTGGCTTCTAAGAAAGAAGTCAAAAGAGAAAAACAGGAAGCATCTCTACATCAACAGCACCTATGGAGAGCCCTCGGCCTACCTCCCTCTTCCGCACTGTGAAGCCTGACAGGTAAACTGAGTCACGGTGAGCTGCTATTGTAACTGTAAGGCAGAATTCTCCATAGATCCTCATTCTTATAAACACCATGCTTCTCACTGCTGGTAAGGGACCACACAGCTACCACCCTGCCCCCAAACCCCTGGGTAAGCACTGAGGTCATTTAGGAGTCACTTCTTTCTCCCATTACTCCTTGAATGGCAACCCCAGGTTCCCGACAGGTCCCATTGTCCTGACTACAAAAGAGCCTGGGAGACTGAAGGGCAGATTCAGGTAATCTCTTGTCCTGTCTGCTCTCTAAGAGGCCCTTTCCTTTACGGAGAAAGGAATCTGAAAAGCAAACAAACAAAACCTCCAGAGATTCCCCCCTAAGATGTTGGCCCTCCTGCCCGATCACTACCATGCAGCCCTTCCCTGGAATCACCTAAAAGGGTGGATGGGCAGAGAAGTCCTTGGAGACTGTGTGATGGCTTGGGCAAGCAGGTCACGACTCTAACTCTGGAAGAAGTGTTTGCCTCTCCCAACTCTGCTCTGTTCTCTTATTACTCGGAATTAATCTTTAATGACAACAGAGTGCTTCTTACATACAAGGATGTATCTTCTCGTTCAAGAAGGAGTCCACATGAATATTTCAAGTGCTAGCCCTTGTAAACCGTCTCCTTTCCTCATTAAAACAACATGCGATGCAGAACTTCCTCCACTTGGTAGAGCTTTGTCTCAGCCTTTAACAAGAATAGTCATTAAAATGATGACTGTGGGTTAGTGGCCATAAGCAAAAAAAAAAAAAAATTTAAATTTCACATGATACATTCAGGCATGGTAAAGCTCTGTTTCCCTCTCACTGCTTGTCAGTGTGACTCCAAGTCGAGGCTCAGCTTCTAAGCCCCAGGAGACATGACGTCTTGGAGGAGCAAAGGACAACAGTGAGTGCCAAGGGATCCTAATCCCTTGCTGGGAACAGGGGGTAGAAATTGAATTGGCTGGGTAGTTTAAAGTAAAGAGACCCCCCAAAGCAAAGTTTCTCTCTTGGATAAACCCCAAAATGTCCTTGAGCCTCGTATTAGGCAACAAGGCCAAGAGTGTGTGAGGCTCTGATCGCTTACCTGGTTCCTAAACTGTTTTAGGATTACCTCGTCAAATGGAGAAATGTCAGAGTAGGAAAACTGCCGATGGAGAGAAAAGACACAGCCCTCCAGCTGAACCAGGTCACCCCCTCCGCTAGAGGGCCACCCTTAGGAAGGTGACTCGCCTTAGACCATGCTAAAGAGCTAAGCAGAATAGTTAGTCCTTTAATGAGATGGTACGCTGTTTTCCTTCCCAGAATCACTGCCTGTGATTACTGCAGGCAAGCCACGGGGCAGCACAGCAAACAGGCTGCAGCCTTGTAGCTTTTAAACCTGACCCATTTGGTTTTACCTTGCCTTTTCTTCTGTCTGTCTGCTTTCTAAGTGTGCTTTGCATACTGACCCCCTCAACATTCTGGGCGCCCTTCTCTTTCTCTAGGAAGCCTCTCTCCCTGCCAGATGGCAGCTCATCTGCTGCCCAGTCTTTCTTTTAAACTGTACTCAAGTTGTCCTTGAGGTTCCGGAGAGTCCATTCTTAAATTTCTTTTACCGGTTAGACTAAGAACTCCCAAGGGGGTCTCCAACTGCCCCTGTGTTGTCACCTCTCAAGCACTGAGCCCGCAAGAAAACATATGCTGGGCTGTGTGCTGGAGATCCGGGTGAGGGGCAGACCCTCGCTTGCAGAAAGAGACAGCAAGCCTGTGCTGATTGGTGCTGTCGGGACAGAGAGGCGAATCCTTCATCCATACTGGGATATAAGAAGCTTGAAGAGTCAGCTGAGAGAAAAGATGTTTCTGCTCTAGACGCAGCCCCGCCGTGGTCAGGACGTTTCGGGTAACTCGGCTGTGGAGATCGCAGGGGGAAGGGAGGTTCCCCGGGCTTGACCAGCAGCTCCTAGAGAAGGTGCCGTTCCAGCCCCACCTGGGGCAGTTTAGAGGGGCACATGGGTTGAGGCAGACGAGGACACACAGGAAGTACTCTGCTGATGCCCACTTTTTGGAAATGACACTCAGATCCTTTTTATCAGGAATTGCCAACCCCTACCCACCCAGGGGACGTTTGGGGACAAACCAAGATCAACTTGCACAGGACAAGGCCTGGAACTCCAGACTCTGACCCCTCCCTCACCTCTGAGCACTGACTCCCATTCACAGCCCTTAAGATGCCCGCATGCACTGTCAAATGTCCATTGACCTGACTTCTGACCACCATAGGGGCAGCAGTGTTTCCTGACTGACTGACAGAGGTTTCATTTTGTAAACTGGCAAAACGTTAACAGCGCATGCCTCTTTCCTCCGCAAATCTTCTCCCCCAAAGATAAGAAAATCAAGAAAAGAATAGCAAAGATCTCTTCTGATGTATTTTCAACGTGTCCTTCAATGCTTATGTGCTGAGAGTTTAACACCAGATGCAACCCTGGTGGGTGTGGGTGGTCCCTACGGAAGCACTTGGGCCTCTGGAGCTCCACACTCAGGGCGAAATAACGTCATTTCAAGGCAGTGGGCTTGCTCCAGCCCTGGTCTCTCCTACACGCCGTGCCTAACTACTGTGCGGCCGGGCCGGAAGGCCTTCACGGTGCTCACACACTCCTGTCTTGAACTTTCAGCCTCCAGGACCCTGACCCAAACCAACTCGGATTCACTATGAATTACTGTCCTCCTTCAGTAATTTATTGATGTGGGCAG